CCGTTCACATAAACATGAGATACACTTCAGTGATGCTGTTAGGAGAATTATGCGAATGGATATCACATGAACTACATTCAGAATCATTAGGTATTTAATAGTTAATAATTACATAATTTGAAAACTATGTTTAAACTATTAATGACAAATTAATGATAGATAATTGATATTAACTAATAAATAATGTTTAAACTTAAATTATTTTATTCATTTGGTGTTTGTATTTTCAGAACCAATATTAAATTATCTACAGTATTGTTTACGCCAACCAAACCTTGCTGCAGTCACAGCAAAATCTTTACATAGTATTTGTACTACTTGCCGACATCACATGGTCAAACATCTTAGTGGACTTATTGAAATCCTAAAAGTGGTTGATATGCTGAATTTACCCAATGATGTTGCGATTGGCCTATTAAAAGGTCTGTAATAGATTATTTAGATTAGGGGGTGAAGTAGCTGAGCGGACTAAAGCGTCGGTTGCGTTAAGCACCGTCGCTGGTTTGAATTTTAGTCACGGTGTCTGGAGAGAGAAGCCGTCGCCCCCCAACCGGGCAAGGCAGAAAGCTATGGGTGCCCACTAGAAATTCTGCCAAATAGGCGTCCGAACTATAGGCCTTCGGGCCTACTCCCGGATATAAACGCCATACGAAAAAAAAAAATAAATAGATTATTTATTAATTAATAATTTCTGTTGATTAATTTTTACTTTTCTTAACTTTATTAAAGGTGTTGCTGTGATTGTTGCTGAAGTGCCTGAAGAACATGTGTATAAAGCAATTAAAGAGATTTGTGGACGACAGTTAAGTCCATTATTAGCTCTTGTTGAAGTAAGTTTTCTGGTTATCTATTATAAATTTATAAAAGAATTTAATTATATATTTTTCTGTTTAGTCTACATCAGAGAAAACTGTTCCTGAGACTAATACTTCTACAGACCCAATATATTGGTTGGATCGTTTGTCAGCAATTTTAAGACATTTAGCAACCAAATCAAATAATGAAAAAGACCCTTGTGTTGTTGCTATTGTTGAAGTATGTTTCAATATTGGTTCTAAATTATGTTATTTTATTTAATGGTTTATGATATCTTGGTTAGATGTGGCCATCTATGTCAAAAATATGCACTAGATATAAAACCGATTCACGTATCACTGAACATTTTTGTCGGTGTCTTCGGTTTATGATAAGATTGGTTAGTCGATCCACAACTGCACTTTTAGCGCCAGTTGCTCAACAAGTAAGAGTACTTCATTTTATTAGAAAATCAAATATATTTTTGTTACATAATTGTGTAGATGGCGTATTTATATAAAGAGCATCATCACAGTTGTTATCTTTATATTGGTTCAATTTTGGTTGATGAGTATGGTTCCAAATACGACAACCCACTTGTTATGACACAATGCCATTCAATTCTATTAGAAATGATAGACGCGTTTATTGAACCAGCATTTCGATTATTTAGTGAAAAAGATGGACTCAGAAATTATCCAGATACAGTTGATGATTTCTTTCGATTGGCATGCAGGTAGAAAAAAAATCAAAACCTTAATGTTTAAGAAAATTATTTATTTTTAATTTTCATTAACATTTTAGATTTATTCAAAAACTCCCAATGCCTTTTCTTCAGTCTCCGGTACTTGAAGTTATCATTAGGTGTAGTATAACTGCTGTTTCATTGGATCATAAAGAAGCTAATGCATCTGTTATGAAATTTCTACTAGACTTATTATTATGTGGAAAATCAAGAAAAGTAAATGATTTGTTTTTATTATTATTATTATTTTTAAGAAGTATATTTAATATTTGAAAAATAATAATTTGATGTACACAGGACAATGTAAATAATGAAGAATGTAGACAATATGTTACCTCAATAATAAATTCAATTGGTGAACAATTAATTGACAATTTAATTCAAGCAAGTGTTTTCTCACTTCAAACATACATGTTACCTGATGTGATTGATGTGATTATAGAACTAATGGCTTATGATAAAGTTGTAAGAATGTATTTTTTTATCAACTTTATAAATAGATAATATTTATTTCTAATTACTATAATAATTATATAGCTAACATTAAGATGGTTAAATGGAGCTGTTGAAAAATTACCAAAACAAAACTCTGCTGGTTTAGTTACAGCAACAAATGAACAGTGTTTGCAATTTTTAAACTCTTTTCATAGGTAAATATTGCAAAATATATGTAATACTATATAAAAAAATATAATTAATAATTGATTTATCAAATGTAAAAATAATTTAAATATGCCTTATTATTATTATTTTAGCTACGAAAATGATGGAGAATTATGTCGTTCATTACGAGAATTTTCGCGGTATTTTCGGTAGTGTTGACTATAATTAATATATTAAAATGTTTTAATGTTATTCATTTTTTGACCTTGCTGTTTAAATCATTTTGTTTTAAATTTTTATTAATTCATCATGTTTAATTGTGCTTATAGTTGTGAAAAAAACTAAGTTCATGGTCAATATTAAATTACTATTAATTGCAGTATAATTAATATACTAATTATTGTGTACAAAGAAATTATCATTGGTTGAAAAATGTTCACTTACCTTTTGTGTGAAATGTTTATTATTAAGTAAAGTACAAGAGATATCCAATAGTTTTCCTTTATTTATTTACCAAGATAAATCAATCAAATAATTTTTATTCTTTAATATTTGAGCATTATGCCAAAAATATAATTTTAAATATCTAACAGAATGCTTAGTTTTAAAAATAGTATTTTTCTCTTGTCTCTACTTCAACAATAAATATTAAAGTTGATTTTTTGTCTGAAAAGTGTATCCATAGAGTAGTTAGAGGTAGCAGTGTCTACCTCAGTCTTTAAATTGACCATTATACATAGTTTGAATACCTAATTGTAAATTAGTTTTTTGTTTTTAAAATTCATAAGAATATTGTATTATTGTATTATTATTTATTTAACTACCAAAAATATGTATTATAATATGATATAATTTTACTGGCTTATTTAAATTCCTGCTTGGTCCATAAAATACTATGGATGATAGGAATATTTTGTCTAAAAATCTTTGTTACTTCAAAAGTGTACTTATGTTTTTATGGCATTGAAGCACATCTCATAAACTTGAAGAAATATTCAAAACTATAAATCTATTGTATATGACATCCACGTGACCATGTCTAATAAATGTATTTGTATTATATTCCAATACGGTGTGTATTGTGTATTATTAAAACATAGTCTAAACTCTAAAGATGACCAACCTATGATACGCATACTACATACATATTTTAGTAACACAACTGTTGAAAAAAAAAAAATTAGTTGTGATATTATGAATAAAGTACTTATTAAAAAGAATATAAATTTAAATCTAAAATATTGTTTCAATGACTACTGACAGAGCTTCAAATATGGTTGATAAACATAATGGTTTTATTTAACTTTTTTCCAATGAAATTGTTCATCTTGTTATCATAGAATACCAAGGAAGTAATATTTGAAGATATTAATTTAAATATTGAACTGGAAAATAATTATTGTAAAGTCGATAGTAATATTAAATTGGATAATTTGATTATTATTTAATTATTAAGTAGAAAAGTCTTCCAAATTAATTTGCTTCAAAAAAAGCTAGCAGTTTCTTTATTGTCAAAGTTTGTTAGATCTGAATCTCATTTATAAACAATATTTAATTACATATTAAAATTTTAATATTTATTATTTTTATTAACTAATAATTAAATTAATATATTTTATAATTATTAGAATTTTTAAATAAAACACTAAATACTGTTGAGTGTTAAAGACCAGAGTATTAGTGTAAATTGATTAACAATAATAAAAACATAATGAGAATCTATACCTAAGTATAGGCACATAGCCATGATTTGGGGAGGGGAGGGGGGGTTGAAATAAATTTTAGTACAATTTTATACATTATTAATACATAAAACCTTTTATTTTTTTTATAAAATGACAAAAATTTTATAGTATAGTACACAACAATTTTGAGTGGGGGGTTCAGACCTCATAGTATCCCTGGAGTCTGAATAAGTAAATTATATCTACCTCATAATCTCGATTATAAGCTATAACCATCATTAACAGCTTATAAATTCACGCAATTTTTATTTTTTATGTATATATAATTATATGTATTATTTGACAATCAGTGTTTCAGAATTTTAGATATATTCATTCAATTCTTTGTCCTCTGTCCAATAGAAAATAGAAATACAAGAATAAACTAAAAAGTCTGAACTCTGAAGATAAAAACAATAATTGGATTATAACATTTATAACTTTTGACTTATCTTTAATCTAATTTTAGAAATTGTCCCAACTCTGGAATAGACTATTTTTACATTTTTCAACGTTAGGTATTGTTCTTAGACGTTGTGGCTTCGTCCAAAACGACCAAAACAAGTTAAAATAATTATTGATTATTATTGATGTTTATCGGTCGTCAAACGTTAGCAAGATTATAAACTATGAATACTGGTCGCCGGTCGCCGTTTATATTTTTAATATTTTTATAGATACCATATTCGAGTATTCGACCCTTATAGAAAAAACTGGCGATTGCAAATGATAGTGGCAACCGGTTAGTGTTCATTATTCATTCACTATTCAGTCACCACTCTCCATTAATCAATCATGTGAGCATTGTGAGCTTTCTGAGTCTTAAAATCAAACCACCGCAGCATTGGTAAAACTAAATCAAATGTGAAATGATCATTGAGCGTTTGACGGTAATATGGCACTTAAAAATAGATATTTTGCATTTGCATAGGCCATAGATATGTATAATGTGGACATGTGATGCAGTACTGTAGTTGCAGTGTGCAGTGAATGCAACTTAAAATCTGTAAATTATAATTCGTAGCATTTTGAGAACTCCTGAACGATGTCTAATGATAATAAACGTTTTTCACTTTGTATCTGTAAATGAATTCACATTTATTATTATTATTATTATTATAAAACAATATAATTGATGTGATATTATTAATAATATAGTTTATTATAGATATTAGATACCACCTCTGCCGGGCACATCAAACAATATTTATTAAACTTTTGCTAACATTATTGTCATAGTCGGCTTTTCACAAAATCCCAACAGTGATCAATCTTGTTGCATTTCCCAAATTCTCACTGGCTTTATGGCGTACAAGTTAAGCTCCGTCCTCTATGGACACGTATTGGACGTCCGCGGACTGGCTACCGGATCCGACGGTTACATTGTATCTGCGTCCAGAGACAAGACCGCTAAACTTTGGAAACCGAACAGGTAATATTTCAATAAATATACTATTTGGTAAGTTTATGGACAATTCTCTCGTTGTGTTAATTATTTTACCGAGTCGAAGTATTCAATTCGTCTTCCAAATAGACCTGGTTAATAGTTATTTTGATTTTTTTGGTTTTTTATGGTTGTCATTGCATACGATAAGAGTATGCTTAAGGTTGGGTAAAATATGTTGAGTTATAAACCAAATATTTATTATTCTTTAATTGTCTCTTAACAATTACAATACAGAATACTTCAGTACTATATTTGAATTAGAGTGAGATGGAGACTTTATTTTTAAAAATCATTTAAGTTACCTCTTTTAATATCTTAAATAATTAATAAACAATTTAGGTATTCAGATATGTACATATATTTTATATGATTGTATGCAGTTACAGATTATGCCACCGAGAGGCCGGGAAATTTCCCAGTGGGCTGTAGCCCAGTCATGACTTTATGACTAACCCTATAATCATAAAACTAATTTTATAATTGTTATTTTTTATTATCTATGAAGTATTTTGCATACATCTTTGAAAATGGGGAGAAAAAAATTACAATTTAAGATAACATGGTAGCCTAACGAATTATGATAAGGTGGTTAATGTGTTAAATGTATGGCTACAGTTGTATATTCAACCATGTGGCGTGAATACAATATAGCAGGACAACGGCCGAAGTAATTTTTGTCTAAGAAAGCAATGTTGGAAAATTTAGTTAAGGAAAAATAAAAAATTGTTGTATTAAGTTTTGGGCTTCAATTTTTTTTTTTACATTAATTTTGTAATTTATATAATGTGATACCGCTGTCTTCCGTAAATGTTTTTAATGTCTTTTGTTGAACAACATATATAAACTTGTAATTATTTATTGATCTATATATTTATATGTTGATAATATATGGTTTATGTATGTAATAGATTAGGAGTATTAAATCATATATTTAATTCAACTAAAATAATAATAATTTTTTTTAATTTTACTACATTTCCACTAAATTTTTCGCATTTATAGTGTTTTGGACTAGTGAAAAGAAATCCTCCTGGACCAGTTAAAATTCAGAACCCACTGCTGTTTAAATATCTCTTAGTATTTTCCCAATTCAAACATTAAATTTATATGCCACATCAATTTAGTAAATTTCTTATTTACATCTCATTTACAATGGATGAATTAAGTTTTGTCCATACAATTAAATACATTTTATTTTACTTGAATATTTTTCTATTGTTTTTAATTATTATTAAAGATGAAAAATAATTTATAAATAGGTGCAGTTAGAAAAAAAAAAATACAAATAGTTATAATTTAATGTTCATTTAGATATTGGTCTTAATATTAAATAAATAAATATCAAATAATGATTTGCCTATTTATATTTTTTTTTTATTCTCCTACCTACCTATAGCCTATTTTTTCAATTATCATATGAAGAATAGTATTGAGTTAAAATAAATTAAAATTTCAAAATAATGTATTACATGTAGAAAGAATGAGCTTTGTTAATTTCATAAAGTTATAGAGTCTAATAGGTCGTTGTCAAACATGGAGTGTGATAGATGTTGAAACTTTAAAATCAACCAAAATTAACATAAAAATTGTTATTAGGAATTTGTTTTAACCATAAATAGAACTAAATTGATAGAGTTATACCCATATACCCAAGTTCTTTACCCTTAACAATATATTTTATTTTTAAATTTATGAACAACTCTTTATTGTTCAATTCTAAGTTTAACATAACTTTTTTGTAATATGTTCACCTAAATTAAGTTTCTTTGGTAGAATAAATCTTATTTTTTTTTTTTTACATACAAATTGCATAGTATAACCTGACAGCAACATTTTCAACTAAATATTATTCAGATCGTTAAAATCTATGTATAAAATTATTGGAAGTATTATTTTGTTTTCATAAAAATAACCTATTGTACATAGATAAATTTGATACCTAATATTTATTTGTTTTGTGTTTTTTTAATTTCAGTGGAAATGCTGGATTCACAGAAGTTCAAACATTCAAAGGCCATTCCAATTATGTAGTATCAATTGCAATACTAAATAAATCTGATATCTTACCAAATGGTCTTATTTTAACTGGCGGTAATGACAAGCTTATGTGTGGATTCCTTCCTGAATCACCAGAACCAGTTTTTATTGAAACTAGTCATACAAATACTGGTAATATAAATTTAGTAACGTTCTTATAAACTGATGAAAATCCATTTAAAAGTGGGATTAAAAACTAATTTTTAAAATTTAATTTGAGATTAATAAAAGTTATTTATTGAAATTGTTTGTATTAATTATACATAAAAAAATCTTTTTTATTTATCCATTTATATATTTTAGTGTGTAAAATCACTCCTGGTATATTACCAAATACATTTTTAACTTCTTCATGGGATATGAATGCACGCCTATGGAAAATAATGGTCAACCCTGATCATACTTATCAGCCAGTATTGCTAACAATTTTTAAAGGACATATAGCAGCTGTTTGGTCTTCAATACAACTATCTACAAATCAAGTCATAACTTGCTCAGCAGATAAAACTTTACTCATACACAATATTTTACATGGTGATCCAGAAAATTCATCTATTGCTATTAAAAAATTAACTGGTAATGTATATTATTTTTTTGTCATGTCTTCAAATTTTATTGATTTTCAATTTTCAATTAAAAATTTATTATTTTATTTTAGGTCATACTGACTGTGTGAGAGATTTAGCAGCTTTATTGAATAATGAATTTCTCTCTTGTTCAAATGATGCTACTGTAAAACATTGGAATGCAGAAACTGGTGAATGTTTAGAAACGTTTTATGGTCATCCCAACTATATTTATTGGTAAAAAATTAGAAAATTTTATATTATTTTGTTATTTGTGATCAAAATATTATAGCAACTATTCTCTATTCCAATAAGAGTGACAGTCTGTAATGATCAAAACTAGTTACCACTGCATACTCCTACTTCAAAAGCTACCAGCATCACATAATTAATCGGCAACTTTGCTTGCTCTAATGTGCGATTTTAGTATTGTAGTATTAATTTTTATTTATTGATTTGTGATTTAAGAATAACATGTCACTCTTGTCTGCTAATGTTGCAGTATTGAGTGTTCCAGTAGACTATGTCATCTTAATATGGTGCACTTCTTTCACCCTTATTTAGAATAGAGTATAGATAAAATCTATATCCTATATATTGAAAAACCATGAATTTTTTTGCTTACTACTGTGCATCTATCCAGATTGTTATGGTTGATAGAAAACAACTAATTTTTATCTCTGTACACTAATATTCTCACGGTGGAATATTAATTTCATTTTTTTTTATAATTATGTTTTGAAATGGTAATCGCCTTTTTTTTTATTATATATTTATTAATTTTTTGTTTTATAGCTTAAGTGTCTTTTGTGGAACTGATATGACTAATTCATTAGTTGTGACTGGTGGAGAAGATAGGTACCTTAATGTTTGGCAAAGCTCTGAACAACAAGTCATATTACAACCAGCACAGAGTATATGGGCTGTAGCTATTCTTCCAAATACAGATATTGTTGTTGGCTCTAGGTATGTATGTTTTAATCAAATTTTTAGTTATGCATCTTGTAATAGTTAACAATCATTTAAGTGTACATTATATAAGAAGAGTATTGAATAATAAAAATAATATTAGCAATTAATTTTTCTTGCACTTAAATTAAAAAAGTAGTAATTCTTCTATTGATGATCAAACATTAATACATTTAAAATATTTTAATTCAAAGAACTTCTTAAAACAATAAATAAAATATATTTTGAATGATTTAATTATTGTGATAAAAATATATTGAATTACATTTATTGTTTATTAGTGATGGTTTAATAAGAATATTCAGTACGGATTCAAATCGCCAAGCTACAAATGAAGCCCAAGCTGCTTTCCAAGAACAAGTTGACAATGTTAATCAGGTGGCACAAAAAGAAGTTGGTGGTATTAAAGTTGATAGGTACGTTTCGTATTAATTGTTTTATTAAATTATAAAACAAACAATTTTATCTTGATTATGTATATTCAATAGTTTACCTGGACCAGAAGTACTTTATAGCCCTGGAAAAAGTGATGGTCAAGTAATAATGATTAATGAAAATGGAAAACCTATTTGTTATAAGTGGTCATCAAATGAATGTAAATGGGATAAAGTGGGAGATGTTTTAAGTGCATCTGATCCAAATAAAAACATGCACGAAGGAAAGGTAAGTTAAACTTTTAATACATGATTATTCAAAATGAATCATCCAATGCACATTGTACCTGGCTTCCTAGGTCACCTTATCTTATACCATGTGATCACGTCAATTTTGGATTTCTGTGAAAGACTGTATAATATATACCACTTATCTTCAACCTAAGAGGAGCTAAAAATAAATGCAGTCAATTATGACAAATATGTATGGAATGAATTAGATTTCCAACTAGTTGTTATTTGTGTGACTAAGAAAAGCTACATAGAACATTTATTGATATCATAAAATATTATTCTTTTATTTAATTTATCATAATTACTATAAATCTATAAACTAAAAAGATTAAGTACATGAAATTGGATAAGTCATTTGAATATTGTTCATAATTATTTTAAGTTTTTCAATTTTATTATAATTTATAGGAGTATGATTTTGTATGGAACGTTGATATAGAAGATGGTGCACCTGCGATCAAATTACCTTTTAACAAAGATGAAGATCCTTGGGTAGTAGCTCAAGCATTTATACACAAACACAACTTACCACAGTCTTATTTAGAAACTGTGGCAAACTTTATAATTTCAAATTCAAAGATTTCTCCTTCACCATTACCTGCTAGTCAAGGTTATGTAGATCCTTATACTGGAGCTGCTAGGTATGTACCATCAAGCAATGGTATTTCTTCTTCTGGAACGAATGGTCAAAACCATTTTAATGAACAGTCGGATCAAGTATCTTCTGGTTACCAAAAGTTTTTCCCTCAAACTACCTATTTAAAATTTGACCAAGCCAATACTGCAAATATTTTAAGTTAGTAACGATATAAATGTTAAAAATAATATATTATTTATTTTAATATAATTGCATTTTGTTTAATTATTGTCTATTTTAGGTAAAATTGAAGAATTTAATAAAAAAGCAGGCGACTCATTTAATAAGCTCAACCAGAATCAACTTGATTCCCTTATAAAACTCTGTGATGTAAATACTAGTCCTGATAAGGATACTATTAAGATATTAATCAGCTTACTTGATTGGCCCAATGGTAAAAACTAAGCCTATACATTATTAAGTATTATATAAATTTATTTACCACATTATGCTAAATATTGTTTCATTTTAGATCTTTTATTTCCTGTACTGGATATTACAAGACTAGCTGTACGCAATAAACATGTAAATGATGAATTGTGTTCAAATAACTTAATTATGAATAAATTATTACCGCACATTTATGATATTGAAAAGCCTACTAATCAAATGTTGGCGTTTAGATGTTTATGCAATCTTATGCATCATGAAAAAGGAGAACTTCTTGTAGTGAAACACTACGAAGAGTTTTTAAAACTTATTCAAAATTTATCTATTGAAAATCTTTTTCAAAAACAGCTCCAAGTAAGAAGATATAATTAATGATATTTTTGTTTTTAAATTGAATTTATAAATTTATATTGTTAATTAATTAATAGATTGCTGTAGCCACATTGATGCTGAATTTCAGTGTTATGATTAAACAATCTGATGATAAAATAGCTATACAAACTGTGAATAACACCATAAATATGGTATGTCCAAAATTGACTGAACCTGAAGCAATTTTCCGTTGTTTTATAGGTATTGGAACCTTATTAAGTTTAAAATATCCTCCAACTTTGTCAGAACAAATTAGAGATTACATTGAACTGATGGCATCAAATTCAGAACCATCAAAGGTGTTGTCATGTTGTAAACATTTGATGACTATTATTGGAAAATAATTGGATTAAGAAATATTATTGATTTATTTTATTCTTTAAAATAAATTTAAATGTAAAATGAGAAGAAATTGATAATAACACATTTATTATAAGTATAATATTTCTAATTTTTAAACGAAAATAATATTGTACATTTGGTCTGCTATTTAAAAATAATTTTTGATAGGTGTTGTATTTTTATGTATCTAAAAAATATCTTGTCTTAATGATTCAAATTGAAAAAATACAGTTTATTCTATGGTCTTATAATTTTTTTTATTACAATTTAAAAGGTATTCCGCTAAATGGTACTTCATTTTTATAATTCTGCTTTAGAATAATGTCTAATTTAATTTCGGGAGCTTCTATGTGTGGAAACATCAAAATATCTTCTTTTCGTGGAATGAAAGTTTTATCGTACCATCCATACCTATAAAAAATTAACTTATTGTCATACTGCTTTACAAATGTTAAATATATTATAAAAATATTACTTTATTCATTTGCATATTATTTATTAAGTACAGTTTAATATTTACCTTTGACTTTCAGTTTTTGGAGAAGAAAATTTATTCTTTGGCCCTAAAGATTTAGCTTGTGCTAAAAGTTTTATGTAGTGATCATTTGGTTCACCTTGATTGACATTTGCTTCGTGGCGAGCATAAAATTTCCCCGTTACAGGTGATGCTATAAATTACATATTGTGTTCAAATACTCATCAAGTTTAGTCTGCTAGCACATAAAAGTATTTTGATAATGCTCTAAACCTAAAGCAATAGTCACCAATTAATATTTTTGGGGGGCCACTAAAAGAATTGGAGACATTTTTGGGGACCATAAAAATTTAATGTACATATTATTTATTCATTAAAAGTAAATGCATAATTAAAAAAATAAAAACCACATTTCTTGTTTACTGGTATATTTTTCCATAAATCACTGTTTGATGATTTCTGTTCAACTTGAGAAACATTTATTAGAAACCAGTTTTGGTCAGGTGGTGATCAAAAAACACTTGTTTGTCACATAAACCAAATCAACCTATTGTGTTATTGAGCCATGTCCCTAGCTACGCTCAAGTCAGCCACGAAATTGTTTCTACACTGAATTAATTAAAAACATTTTAAGAAGCTCAGGACAATCAAAATTGAGTACTTTTGTATATCAAATATTAATTACTCTCAAGAGAGTTGTTAGTGAAATGTTTAATCTGCACCTACATCAAAAACGTTTTAGCACGAATCTATGATTACATTATCATAGTAAAATTATCATAACTTTTTTTTTAAATTAAATTTAATATTTGTACAATATATAAATGAAACGTTTGAAAATACGCATAAATTATATAAGGTTAATAATAAAATAAAATAAAATTTGTTAAATTTTAATTGAAACTTAAGCGAAAGATCTACTGATGGAACTCAGGCTATCATAACTAACCTTTTAAGTTAGGCCGAAACGTAGTGTAAACTTTCTGAAATTTTTTTTCTTTTTTGTATAATTCAACCAAAAGAGTGTAGTCGTACATTATATGTGTTTCGTATGACTGAAAATAAAAAAAAAATAAAAAATTTTTTATTCTTAATACAGTTGCAAAAAATTTTGTTTTAAAACAACTAACACAAAATTAAATAAAATGATTATTAATCGCCTTCACTACCATAGTTGCATTCGTTACACAAAATAACAATCAATCACTTTTTTTTTAATTCTCTTAATGATTGCTATTTATTTTGCCGGCTAACGATCATCAATTTGTTGTAAAACCTACCAACCTATAACCACAACATGTCAAAAAGTCTAATAAATTATTGCTACCTAGTCCCATTGATATTTTCTGGGCTCTACTTAGACTTCAGAATTTAGGATTAATACACTATCTACAATCGATTTAAATTTACAATATTGCTATCATTAAAAGTACGGTATATTTCCATAATAACATGTTATTTATACCTATTTTGAAGTCTATAGTAGAACTTGGGCATGATCAAAAACATCGTGCATTTATTTACATATCTATAGAAAAACTTATCATGCCTGCGTATAATATTATTTTTTAAATTATAAACGTTATTTGTTTTTTTTTTTATTATAAAATTTAATATATGTACATATGCGGAGATTGAGGAGAAAAAAAAAATAAAAATTTGAAAGCCTCCAAAATTATTGAACATTTTTCAGAGTATTAAATAGGTACCTATTTTGCAACAACGCAAAGAAAGATTTACACCCCCCCTCTCCCACACACAAAAAAAATTCAATCAAATATCGTCTATGTATCTGTAGGTAGTTAAACAGAACTTTTGATTTTAATTACTTTAAAGAATGTCAGCGCATTATTTTATCTTCCTCTAGCCCACACACACACACTATTAACAAATTACAATGTAGTATAATTATGTTTATGTTTTTGAATGATCCTAGAGTAAAATAACCTATTATAAAAATAATAGAATATAGTGTACTTATATGAGGGTTTGACATAAATATGTCTTAATATTATTTAAAAACCATTTAATAACTATTCAAATTCATAAAAAAAAATTTTATTGTGTTTTTATTGTCAAGTAAAACAAATATAAAACCGATACGATAAATCAAAAATATTATTCTTTATAGTTTTTGTATAAAACGTTAATTAACTATAAAATTACTTAAAAAAATTATTTTACATGAATGTATTTCATTTTCTGGCGTTGGTAGATAGTAGCCAGTAGGTATAGTAGATAAATGAAACGATGTTTAAAAATTATAATCATTCTCTAGGTAAGGGATTGCGAGCACTCACAACTTTCACTCATTTAAATATTGATATTACTTGGAATACTTGGATTACCCCATTTAATATCTAAAGTAAAATTTAATTTAAATGATTAATTTAGTTCCATTTTTTTCTTACCTTCCTTTGAACAATTCGCAATCTTTTAAACGTGCAGTGTGTCAGCAGTTGTATATTAGGTAGGTATATAAATATAATATATATTATACGTGTGTATCGTGCCTATACTTAAAACGAAATTATCACCAACTGTTACACTTGATCATATACTTGGCAATCGTAGAACGCATGTACTAGTAATTGTATTGTTATAGGTACATGGCATTGAAAATTAATCGAATATTTACGTTTTTTATAAAATCATTTAAGTACAGATTGGATCACATCGTAAATATCATAGACTACTAGTTACTATAATATATTTTTATAAACTATTTGGTTTGAAAAAACGAAAGTAAATTTTTTATATACACATGAAATTTCAAATCTTGTAAACTAGCATATCTACTTTCAAGTCATGACTAAATAATAATATTATACTGACTGTTATTTGCACGTGACGGAAATTTTATTATTATAATATACATGTATTATATGTAAATAATATGTCTGGTAGCTTTTTCTAATATGTGCTATTCACGCAAGAGTAATATAATATATATACACTTATTCGAGAAAAAAAACTATTACTTCAATTTGATATATATATAACTAGTTAAAGAGGTAGAATACCTCACATGCAACATGCACCATATTTATTTTTTTATAAACAGCTACGATTCGATTTTAAAGTCAGATTAACTGAACTACTTAAACTCAATATATGTACTTGTTTACTTTTATGATAGGTGGGTACTAAAAATATAAATAATGTAACTGGGTTAGGTTGATTATGGAAAGCAGAAGGGGCCAGGGGGTAGTTTCCACAAAAGCGTTTTTTATAGAATAATTTTTTTTTAACGTATAGTTTATATCGTATTATTAATAGAGAAATACATTATTTTAATTTTAATCTTTATGTATAAAAATTAAGCGTACAACGGATTTTTGTGCAATGCACTCCAAAATTACACAACCAATTTTGATTCTGTCGTTACTTTTTATCACTTTATTTCTGTGTAACCTAGAAGAAAAAATGCTGAGATATTCAATATCAATAAAGACAGTTTCTGATAGAAAATTGAATTTAGTTTGGATGGACAAAAGTAGAAATTTCTCAGAACTTAATACAAGGCGATCAGAAAAACGAGAATATTTATGTAAAATCAGTTTTTGATTAAATCCATTTTGTTATTTGTTCTATTTAAAAAACGAATAAACGCTGTCTCGAAATTTTTAACAAATATTTATAATAAAACTTTTTATACGTGATCAAATTTAAAAAAATGTTTTATCATTTTTTGCGATGTTTATAAAATTTCAAAATAACAAAACGTTGGTTAGTTTTACCATAAAGCTGAGAATAAAAAAATATATCTTTTCAACAACGATGATGGTTTTGGAAACAATAACGAGTGCTTTATATAGACAATAGGTTATAAAAAAATGTATGATAATATAAAAGTTTTATAAGTGTCATCATTCTTATTAAAGATAATTTATGTAGGTACTCACTACTTCAATTATTTTATACAAATGTAATTGAGTATTTTATTTATCATTAAGATATAATAATACAGCAAATTATAGCATTATTTATATGATAGATGGTGATTGATGTGTATGGAAGTAAGAAAGTATATCAAATCTTTATTGAAGTAATACTTAATAAATGATAGTTCAAATCATTATTCAGGTAACTATCTCTCAACTGATCTTAATTCGGAGACTTTAAAAATTGAAGAAAAGATTATTGATTTAAATAAAATCATTAATGTAAGGTATTATTTTATTTATTACATTACATTCTATAAAATTAAAAATGAATTACTACATCTGTTTAATAACTATGAGAGTAGTATGATTTGGTATGTTCTGAAACCTGATCCTGATCTCCCGCATTTGCCGTCACCCCCTCACCATCGATGACAGTGTGACGTACATTTACCCCGCCATCATCTAACCTAACCTTATGCAACTTTTGTATTGGCGTAGGATAATGGAAGGGACGTCGCCCGATTGCGGCCCAAAGTAAACTTTTTACCTTTTTGCCTATCCCGATTGCGGCCTGTCCATAGTAGGTAGGAAATACTATTTAAGTGGTTTAATATTTGACTAGATACCTATTTATTGACAAATTAATTGTACTTCATATCTCTTTTTATTGTAAACAATTTATTTTATTATATCCGATGAGAAAGAATTATATTATAGTATACTTTCCATGTGTTTAAATATTATTTTTATTTATAATTATTTTATAATAATTTAGGTATATCGACGTACTTCATAATATTATAATAAAAGTTTAAATTTCAAACACAAATACGTCCAATACACATTTATACAGTATTTAAAATATTGACTTTATTTTATTAATTATAAGGTATTTTGTGAACCAATTCGTCTTTGGACGCAATCGAGATACTTATATTTGGGATAAAATACGACTACCTGTATTCGGGCCGCAATCGGGCAACTCTGATTGTAAGAAATCGAACCAGTAGAATATAGAGAGCGTCTAAAAGTTCAATGGAAGTTAAAAACAGTCATGATTTTAGTATGCTACGATTTTCCGAATGATACTATACATTTTATTATAGAAAGAATTCGGATTTTATTATAATTGTAAATAATAATAGTTTGGTTTATAAGATTATGTTAAGTCGAAATAAATAACAATGTATTATTTTAAAAATAAAATATACCGATTTCAACTACAAGACGAATCTTAATAGACATTATAAATATGCTCATGGTACATATTTATATAATATTATATATTTTTTGTCATTCAATATTAATTTAAAATTTATTTTTTTCGATGTATCATTAACGTGTCAGCGCATCGTCAGCTGGCTCAACTTGCTCAACCAGCACGAGAGAGTGTTATAAAGTTCGCGCCCCCAGCCCATCATATTCAGATTGCACCTCAAATATTTGTTCTAGATATGCCGGCCTGTGGATCACACGTGTTATCCGAGGACGATATGTGTATAGCTATAGCAGCCATGGAAGCATTCGAACGAGATGAAAAAGTACAAGACTCTAATACAGGTTAGTTATATTTATTAAGCCTGAATTAAATTTTAAAAGACTCGTAAAATCATAAATTTTAAATTTAACAAATAGTCTGTAACGCGATCAATAGTATAATAGTTATAGATTTATTTTATTAGATATTAATTAGGTTTTTTTATTTTATTTTATTTTTAAAGATTATTACACTACTAGTGTAAACGGTAAACGTGTTTCCTCCGCCAACACCACATCGGCTGCTAGAGCGAAAAGGCTCGTATAAATATCGTACACTCTCCCGGGTTTATTGAAATATCGTCGTCATAAAATAGGAAAATCGTATGGTACTATGCTAAAAATTTGAACAATATTCAAGTTTATCATGTGTTTCTCCGATCGCTGAAGTCAAAATTATTCCAACTATTGAAAACACGTGTACAGGATCATCCAATAAAATTTAATTTGAAACTCGAGGCGACATATAATCGCCCGAACATGGCAAACTCCAGGGAAACCAAAAATTTGATATCACCGGATCTCGAGAACTTTCATGAAACTGCCAAAGTATTTTCCGCAGAGGGTATGCCGCTTGTGACTCGGAAAGGTGTTTACCCGTACGAGTACACTGATAGTTGGAGTCGGCTGGAAGAGACAAGATTACCGTCTGGGACCACTTTGACTGCAAGACGTTGGGCGAGTATAGTGATTTGTATCTCAAAAACGATGTGTTACTGCTGGCGGACTGTGTCAAATTGTAGGAATAGAAAGGCTTTTTTTTGCAAAAAATACTATTTAGTTAATAATACAACGTAGTTTAATGTAATAAGCAAGAAATTTTATAATATTAAATTAAAATGGTTAATAGAAAAAATTGTAACTTATTCAAGTTATGATTTTAAAGTTATAATGCGGGAGTTATATGAGGAAGTATACGAAATTGAATTTGATAGTGGGTATGCATTCTAGAAGGAAAAAATTTTAAATAAATGTATAACTAGTACAAAGAAAGCAGTTAGTAATAATTATTGGAATAATTTAATTTTTTTAATATTAGAGTAGAATGTAATAAAATAGAATTAAGATACATAATAAAATTATTACGATTATAAATATATTATAATATATTATTATAAATATTATATTATTATTATTATAAATATGATTTATATATTACATTAGGAACTAGAGTTAAGAAAAATATATTTTTAGATTCTATAGTTATAGTTTATAGTAGTAAAAATGTAAATTATATTGAAAATAAACGTGATGCCTTTTTCGGGTCAAGTAAATGTGAAGTTTGGTAGTTTTTAGTTTATCTTAAGTCTTAAGTATTTTATTATTATTATTATTATTAATATTCAAAAATTATATAATTATTTAAGAAGTTTTTTTTATTTATTATTGAGATGAGATTCTATTACCGTTTATGAAAATTCTGCGTAAACAAGACTTATTGTTAGCAGAACGATATCTTTTGGGTCAAAATCCAATATCGTTTGTCAAAATCCTGTGTAAACAACACTATTATTGCCAACGCCGCGTATTGTTAACGTTATATAGCATGTTCTAATGTTAGCGGAATGACCTGTCTCAGCCGATCTATTATACTCAACACGTATATGTCAGTTTCTAAAATTATATTCTTATGAACTGTATTGGACAAAATAATTTGTTATAATACGAGTGGTTGTTAATTTCTCACGAAATGGGCTATATATCCCAGTATCCCACCTAAAGATTTATACACATTAGATGTTCAATGAAACCTTTGTATAATAGATGCTAACATACTTAGAATTGACTGTTACTTGGTGAAACATACGATATTATTTTCAAATAACTGTTTTAATAGGATCTAAAGCCGTGATAGGTATAATAATATGGCGCATGTACAATAATAATATGATAAGCGTAATTGATAACTCGGTGTTATGTGTTGGAACAGGTGGTGGGAATACGTTACACCAGGGGTCTCCAACCTTTTTTTACGGCGGGCCAAATTTGATATGCGCTTTGGCATCGCGGGCCAACATTTTTAGAAATGTGTTGTCTAAAAAAAAAAAATGTTGTCTATCTAGGATTCTAGGAATATCTGATAGGTTATGAAATTGAGAAATAAATATGAATAGATGAGATTTATTTAAAAAAATGTATGTTTATTTATATAATTTTTTAATTTATTAATCAATTTAATAAAAAATAAATTAAAAACAATGAAAATTAATATATTATTTTCAAAACATTAATTAGCTTGGCGGGCCGGTGCAAAAAGCTTGGCGGGCCGTAGGTTGGAGACCCCTGCTTTACACAATTAG